TTGTATTTATTCGAGATATTTTTTTGTCGCTTTCGTAAAAATTGACCTCAGCTGAATGGAAATCTAATTGGCCTGTTTGTTTCACGCGGATCAGGATCGCGATCAGTGATCCCAAAGCTGGTTCGCGCTATCCATTAAGTGGGTTCTTGTGTTAATGAACCAACGACAGATCACTGGTCGCGATCCGGATCCACGTGAAAGAAACAGGTCCTTCATTAACTAAGGCCGAACCTGTCGGTCTAATTTTGAATAGACTGTATTTTGATTGGTCGAATTAAGGATTTAGTCATTTATTTCGAACAGAGTTGATTAAGTTTATGTTGTAACCAAGTTGGTCGGCTGTTAAAGTGCATAAACACAAACCATGGCTAGTAATTTAGTTGAAAGTATGGAAGTGGAGAGGTCTCCACAATGCGCCGGTCTGATACCACCAGGATATTCGGTGCTTTAATCCTGTGACACATTTTCATGTTACAAAACTATTGCTTGTCTTAACATAATTAATTTGGCGCACGAATATGAAAGCAACATTGTGTGGAAATATGCCAACCATGGACAATTGAATAAAACAGCCCAAATTAAGAGGACTGCCATCACTCGATGGTGTCTATTATATTAGAAAAACATCAAACCAAAACATGCCTCAGAGGCCAGCCGTTGTGTCAACACTGGCTGAGCAAATTATACCAGATGAGGGTATTACATGAACTGAATCACATAGAATGTGACCATAAGGTCTTGCAGCACTAAATCAACACCTCAAAGAACCTGGATTTTGCACAACTGAAGTGCACTGCCCAAGGCGATGTGACAGCTATGAATAATAACGTCATAATTAAACTCCAAATCACGAGCATGTCTGAGGCATTGTAAGAAATTATGAACAGTCGAAATCGTAGAAATTGGTGTCTGCCTAATTTTCAAATCATGGGAATCTACTGTGCATTGCCCATAAGTCAAGGATATCTTAAAACCAAGCCTTTCAGTGTTACTTCAAGAATAAATTCCCTTCACAGTTATTTAGAGAGCTAAAAAGATTAAGTTTCAAGGATGCAGTGGGCCATTTAGTTGTTCTTAGAGAGAGAGGGGGGGGGTGGGGGAGGGGGCAAGATATTTGCAGAATATACAGTCCCAATGTGGAATTCATGTATGACTGCTTTAAGGTACAGCATCAGTTGCAGGGCTTGCACAAGATTCCTTGAGTTTATTGGGATTTTTTATTACCTGAAGTGGATTTTTATAGGACCTTCTTCAAAGAAAGTGTCAATAAGCAAGAGAAATGAACAATTTAAAAAACAAAATTGCATCTACAAAGACCCATCTTCCTAGTTCCTGGGCAACTTCTCGGTCTGATTTCATTACCCGGGACTCTCCGCCATGCTTGAGAAAAGATGGACGTGCCGGACTTAACAGTAATTCACATCGGCGGGGAAATTGCAATAATGAAAACCGGAGGCAGGTGCCCCATCAACTTGTGCAACTGCACTGGCTGTGACAGGCACAGGTGCAACAACATAATTACCTGAATTTTGGCACCTTCGGTGTACAGTATCAGGTCGTTTTCACCTTCATATTTATTCAACCCGAGTTCAAGCCAACTCAGGTTTCCTGAGGTGTATCAGAGTTGACCTCAACATGTCAATCTGCTGCAATTAATAACCCCACAAGTGTTTACAGGAATAAGAAATTAAATTGAATTCAGGTTCCCACAAAAAAATCCGTTTAAACTCTTGTGGAAATACATTAATAAATTAGGTCCCTATTGAAGTACATTACTTGCATTAATTGGCGTCGCTAGGATTTTTTTCGAAGGGGGGGGGGGAAATTGCCGGGGAGGGGCACTCGTCAACAAATAACCAATAAAATGTCAGTAGTGAAAGAGGTGTATTGTATTTTTTTCCCAAGCAAATTGGTGATTTCCTCCCACTTTCCTTCCCCCCTGCCCCCTCTCGCCACGCCCATGATGATTTAAATCCAGATTCGAAAAGAATCTGAAATAGGTTACCAGGTAGTCCTATTTGATTCAAAGAAAAGGCCACGATTGGGCTGAAGGTTTAACTTCTTGTGAAGAGGGGAATAATTATGGTCTTTCAGTGTGACTAGACGAATACCCATTAAGTTTCTCTTTGTGCTTGCACTTGGTTGTTTGTCTTTTTCCGTTTTTTTTGTTGTGTTTTGTTTTTGTGTTTGTTTCTTGTCAGTCTATTGCTTCATGTTCTGCGACCTCAAGTTTTTAGATTCTCGTCAGTGGCAGATCTAGCTTTCGCTAAAGTGGGGGTGGGTGACGGGTGATGTGTAAAGTCTAATGCATGCAGAAGCACGCCGAGTCCCTGGATGCACGGAATCAGCAGATGGCCAATTACTGCTTTTATATATTCCTCCGAATATCCAAATTCCATTTGATCCCAAATCTGGCTCCTTGGATGCTAAACCCAGGGGAACCCTCAACACAAAGCTGCTTTAAAGTCGGGGGGGGGAGGTGAAAGTTGGAACGTCTGACTTAAGACTATGATTGCGTTGCTCATGAAACATCTGTAAATATTTTCAGTCCTCTTGTCCAACGAGACCCCTTCACTTTTATCTTTGGATGGTGAAAAATTATAAGTCCTACCTCAAACACAAGACTCTGAACATGGTTACGTTTAAACGAACTGGCCTCCAAAACCAGGTTGATATAGTGTCAATTTTACAAGAAGTATGTTACTTGGGAACCCCGGTATCTCATATCAAAGAGAACAAGACATGTTGTCATGTAGCTGAGCTGATGATACGTGCATAGAAAATTGAAGTTAGTTTATTTTTGCACACTCCGTGCGACTTTCTAATAGCTTTCTGACGTCATGTTTTAGCCAGTCAGACAGCAGCAAGCCACCTGGGGAATATAATTTTTTTCGGTAGTTCCCCTTTTGAATGGTTGATACTGAGTCACTGAACCCATTTGAATTACTTGGTGCGAAATTCAGATGAGTGTCTTTGATCGCTTCGAGTAAATGTGGAACTAAGCCAGGCAGTGGATCTAGGAATACCCTCTTCGCACGAGTGAATTTGCGGCTAAGTTAATTTAAATCAAGCTGCTGTTGTTTAATAAAGCTTTTGTTAGTCCCTGTGCCCACACAGTAGAGCATCAAAAAGTTAATTGTGGTTTGGGTGACATTTGCAAGCCCTAAAGATAGAGATACGGGAGCCTGTTTTCGCTGTAATGTTCTTTTGCCGGGAATTTTGTGCCGCAGGCACGGGGATTTTATAAGTTTCCGACACTTTTGATAACGGACTCCGGGCAATCTGGCATCCTCCGCACTGTCATGCATTTCTTGAATGATTCACAGAGGGTGCCAGTTTTGTGGCAGTGGTGAAAAATCTAAAGGTGTCTTACTAGTCATTTTGTCTTCGAATGCCATCTTTGTCACCACCCTGAAGCCCGCAGATAAATTTCACGAGTTTTGTCGTAAAAAGTCTTGCTGCAATCGCAAACGGCCAAAACTATTCAGTGGTGCCGATCAGTTTAAAAAGACCCGTTGAAGCTACATGATAAACTGCGAAACTAAGGTCCTGTGTGCCCCCCCCCCACAAAATGTCTGCAATTACTCGAATTGCTCGCCTTCACAACTTTCAATCAACCAATGTTTTGAAAATTACAAGTATATGTCTATACAGTAATTGACCGTGGCCAAAGGTCACTCTGCTGAAGATTGTTCAACCATAGTTCACCATTTTGTTTTTAAGAACGATTTCCTCACGAGGCACAATGAATTTATGCGGTGATTTATTCACTTCTAAACAACACTTCATTGAGCCCCTATTATGATTAACTTGCCCCTGGTATACATGTATTTTCACCCAAACCTTCCTGGCACAATATATTATCCGGGTCCCAAAATAGACTCTGTATTCTGTAAATTGCCAGGCCGGGCACGGACAAACATAGCACCTCCGAGCTCTCTTGCCTGTCAGCAGATTTAATTACCTTGTTTCTTGTGATGGTGTGCTTAGAGTGATGACTACTTGCTGACAATGTCAGGTCCAACTCGAATCATGCTTTGTTGATTATCTTAAAGCATTTTGTTGAAGTTTCCTGGGAAGGAAAGTCTCCAAGAAAACCCAGAGTTAAAACGGGATAAAATAACAGCGTGAAAACCATTAATTTATTTAGGGGGGAGAAGGCACGTTCAAGCCCAATTGTCAAGAACTCAAAAACTTCTGATGTTGGTTGCCAAGAGGAGACCATCTGCCAATCGGCCATGACGTAATTCGCCCACATTTCTCTGGTTGGAAAGGCGTAAACATGAACAATTTCCTGTCGCTGCAAAGAATTATATAATGCATGCCAAAATCTGACATAGTGTGTATACAGGACAATCCACACGTACTGGGGTACGAGGCTTCCAAAAATGGTCAGGAACATTGTCGTATAAGTATTTTCTGAGGACAAGAACGCAAAGAAAAACGATTCATTCTTGTCCTTGAGAGAAAATATTTATGAGGCGCACAGTATCTATATATCTGTCATTCATTGGCGCTGATAACTACCATTACACGTGCTCATTGGGCTCACAACTTCCATACAATCCTTAGGATGACCATCTCAGCTCCCTATGTAGTGCGATAGCCTGATGCTACCATTTCAGTCACAATTACCATGTCTGCCCTCACAGGTGCCTGTTTACTCTTGGGTGACAAGGGGCAACACGGAAAGGGTTTAAGTGATTTGACCAAGGTCACAGGTAGCCACATAATAGGATTCGAACCCCCCCTTATTATTGTGATCAGAAGCTACAAACTCTACCTTGTGAGGACCGTTGCTTGTGTGGACCTGAGACAAAAGATGTCCACGAAAAGCAGGAAGTGAAGAGTTGCGGGTGTGCACGTCTGTATCTATTTCAAAATTACACACCGTCTGGGTAAATAAGGTGCTTGGGTCCAACTTCTCAAATGAAATAAAATAACCTCGTGGGTAAACACACTCCACACAATCAAAAATAAAACTCTCTGAACCATTCCAATGTTGTGTAAGAATATATGCATTCTCTAACCATCTTTTAATCTTCTCCATCACACAAGACGAGTCCACCTTTGGTCCATTAAACCATGACAACCATTAGAATTTAACAAGTGCACTCACCAAAGCATATCTATAGCAAAATAAGTCTACCTAATGGAGTGGCTACCTCTTGTTTCCCCCCCCCTAGTCATCTGCAAAAACTCCTCATATTCATGTTAAACTGAGAAACTGCATGGGATCGCAGTTTCAATTCTTAAAATGCCTCCAAAATCCGCACAGAGTAAACCATATGAAGGGCTGACGAAAAACACTTTTTTATAAACCGTATTACTCAAGTGTAGCTACATTATTAAGAAAACTACTGGCAAAGCTGTACTTTAATCGTAACCTAAGACCTTATGGAACACCTGATTAGACCTTACCGTGAATTTTGTTTAGTCTGATAGAACCATTTCACCTATGCCCTACCCGATCTTCCCAATAAACCTTGTCTCATCCTCTCGAGTCTGGCATTAGCCGTGGCTCACGCAAAGTTACTTTCGGCAACCCTGCTAGCTTACCACACAACCCTTCTGTAACTGGCACGCAGTCTGCGTTATTAAAACAGAATTCTCTCACAGCCGGCTATGAAGAAATTCTGCACGTAGACAACAGATCAAAATTGGGTAGCGCTTCCATAAATAACGGAACGCATGAAAACCCGACTAGGCCTACATGTCGAGTTTTACAGGTCACTGATAATAAGAGAACAGGTGAAAAACACTGATCGGGTGAACAGACAGATAATAAAGTGATTATGCCATGTTATCCACAACCACCTTAAAGAAATTCTTACAAGAACGTACATGTTCACAAATTACAACAAAAGTTTGGCGAGACGACATTAAATCACGCTAGTGTACCAACGAAGCATGACGATTGGAGAGTAAATGATAAATATCAATTTACAGAAAGTTTTGTCATGTAATCCTAAAGATGAATATTTGACAATTGATAACAGCGTGCAACACACGATTTCTGAGTGTGATTCCATTCTCGTAAGGTCTAAATATAGTTGCATAATATGTCACGTTTACTGTTGCATTTTGCAGCATAACTTGTGAGTTGTGACTATATTATACGTATATATAGCAACGGAAATTTTCCTTTACATGTTCATGCCAAACCAAACGTCCAATACTTCCGTTCTGTCTTCTTTTTGAGTCTTTGTTCGAAACTCTACATCTGAATAAATGGCTTCATGCCAAAATTGTCCTAAAAACTAACCCACAGAAACACCCCCAAGACAACGTGAATGCAATTCAGTCAAAGAAATCCCTCTGAAATAGACTGTTCAGGGATCAAACAAAACAATCACATGCACAAAGATTTGGAAAGATTTTATAAAATAATTTAGGCCTTCTTGACTTAAAAACTACATTGGTAAATATATAAATATATATTGCAAGCCTTTTCAAAGCTTCATGCTACCCAAGTTTTGAGTGGCACTGTTTTTACAAAGTGTTAAAAATCTTCAAAATCTGTGGATAAAAAAGCTATTATTTTAACTATGAGCTTGGAACCTTCATGTACAACAAAATGCCACTATGTTACATTTTTAACACAAAGCTACAAACAACAAATGAGCACTAATGTTACTATTTATCAAAGTCAAGCTTTTGACCTGATATAGAAAAAAATACCATGTCTGTTTGCATATATCATTTAGGACCTCAAGGCGATATTTCAATGTATCTGGAAAGAAAAGAGAACCCATTCGATCAAAAGTACCAGCTTCACAATCAACATAGTTTTGAGCAACTTTGCCTGGCAAATGCTGATCAACTTTGCCTGGCAAACGCTGATCAACTAAGCCTGGCAAACGCTGATCAACTTTGCCTGGCAAACGCTGATCAACTAAGCCTGGCAAACGCCGATAAACTAAGCCTGGCAAACCCTGATCAACTTTGCCTGGCAAACGCTGATCAACTAAGCCTGGCAAACGCTGATCAACTTTGCCTGACGCTGATCAACCAAGCCTGGCAAACGCTGATCAACTAAGCCTGGCCAATGCTGATCAACGAAGCCTGGCAAACACTGATCAACTAAGCCTGGCAAACACTGATCAACTTTATGAAATTACTGTCTTCCTAACAACATTACTTTTATCTCATCAACAGCCTCATTAAAACTCTCTCATACATTTACGGAGAGATAATACAAATCTAGACAATTTCGTGCCCCACATACAAGCACAATTAACATATATAAACAATTCCACCAATAAATTTAAAGTTATATTGTAAGTGTTTGCACTAATCACTTGTCATAACTGTGCAAACAAGGCTGATGCAATGACAGTTACCTACATTAAATTAGGACAACAAACATAGTTCATTGCAACGATTAAAGTCTGTCTTTTTTTAAAATATAAAAGAAGGAATTGTTTTCTCCTTTTATATAATTTCAGATGTGTCTCTGACTATGAATCAAATCCTTCAAATGTTAATAAATTATTTGATTGTATTTACAAAAACTGATAGAGATTCATCCTTAGCTGATCATCACTTTTCTTCAACAAAAACAATCAATTAAATGTAATTCTTACATGAAATGTTCTTCAAATCATAGAAAAAATAGTTAATTACACATTTGTGAACATCAATGACACATCATAAACACTTGAATTATGAAATCATTTAGATTGCAATGATAAGATAATGGAGAAACTCACAAGTGAGTGGTATGTATGGACCAGCTGTGAGCAACGGTGAAAAACTCTGCTATCAAATGGAATGAAAATTTCATTGGTTTAAGGAAAAAAACAAAGCCATTCCAAACAATGATTGCCCAAACTGCACATCCCAAATATGTCACTGGTAATGAGAAAAAATGTTAATTTCTGCAGGAGAATTCAGGAGAAATAAAACAAACACTCTTTGCCTTTTCTTGACAATAAACAGACTGGGAGCATGCCTAAAACTCAGATTACTTACTGTTTAAAAGACACCTAACAAATTATGCCTTAATTAAAATCCATCCCAGGTCTCTTTGGTTTTATCTGTCTCATCAAGACTGATGACTACCACAATCCAATCATTCCAGGCCCCTTGATGCTTCACAGATATTAAGGTGGCCTGACTTACTTATCAGACTCACCCAAATCTAATTAGCTATTACAAGACCAATAATGAACAGTCTATTCATGTGTGCATAGCTGATAACATGACTTGTCTTATTAAACAAACTGGCTACAAATTTTCTGCAAAGACTAAGAAGTGTGTGTGTGTGGGGGGTGATGTGTGCTTTGGTAGTGAGCATGAAAAGAAGAAAAGAACTGATGTTTATGATGTCAGGGGTAAATGTACAAGGAAGCATGTATGTGAGGGAACTGTAAGGGATAGTAACAGGGGTGTCAGGAGTGGTCATTACAGGATCATTGAATTAGAGCCTCTCGCAAGGCTGACGTCATTGGTGGACACTAAAAAGATCAGATCCAATCTATTCAAATTGAGTTAGGCGGCCAGGTTCCGCTCCGAAATCATTAGACGGGGCCAAGCATCTAACATTGTGGGCTTGGGGAGGAGGGAGATGGAATACATTCTGGCAATCCACGTCCCCTGGCTGTGGACAACATGAAGAATTGAAAGGGTAGAGGGCCACTTAGCGTGCCGTTTCCTCGTCCAGCTCAAGCTGAGAATAACATACTATCAGACTTGAAATGAGTCTCGATCAAGTTCACCTCAGCAGGGTGCTGTTTAACTAGACATCCAGGCCTCTGTCCTAGCATAACCGTGCCAAGACGTTGATTTCTAAAGCTGTCTTTCTTCCAGGCATCTCTCCCCTGATGCATCAATTTGGACAAAAAGGTCAAGATCTGCATGCAGAATGTTGAACACGAACTCTCCTTGAAACTCAAATAAATAAAGAAATAAAAAAATAAAGCACTGACACAGAAAATGTAATACCAATGGGTAAGAAAGCTGCAGTATCAAACCAAACGGAAATCAACAAAGTATCAAAAAGAAACTTGAAACAAAGGTGCTGAACTTTGAAACTTCTTCATCACTTTTGATTCAAATTCTGAACCTAAGGAACTGATTGAAACCAAGAACACAAGACCACTTGTCAGCAGGATCCATCACTTCTCACTGATGCCATTACTCCTGTAGGGCTGATGGTCCTTGAGGTGCAGGTGTATTTGGGCAAGTTCCAGCGTCCCACTGGTGGAAGAGTCAATCACTGTCATGAACCACCTGTGCAAGGGGCGTAGAGCCTCCGCAGTAATGGCTTCTCATTCTGGTCACCAGATTAGCCTATAATGATAAAAAGGCCGCTTGGCTTACTCCGGTCTGAGCAACAACTTGTTTAGCTGATGAACCGGTGGCCTTCTGATGAATGAGAACTCCGGAGGAAATTGGATTGTATCGGGCCGTGCCGTGCAGAGGAATAAAGCGACAGGGTGCTTCATCACGGCTACGTGCCGCCAACAAAAACGAACCACCGAGGATGAAAGCCGCTGAGCTGTCCTAACAAGGGAGGAAATCAAATTTGCCTCTGGACTGCCACTCTTTCAGGTAGACTCACAAGACCATCTGCAGTCGGTGCTGAGGTAGGATCTCCAAAGACCAAACATGAAACGGCGGTAGGGCAACTGCTACCTGCTCCATCTCAAAGTAATCATAGCCCTTGCACTCCAGCCCTGTTTATTTATTTATTCATTAAACCTAATCCCAGACTGCTTTGTGCTGATGGATTATGAACTAAAAACGGAACAAATTCAGCAATTATTTAAATTCTTTGATCAATTGCAATACCTGGTGAGTGGAATGAGTAACTCCAAAGTGTGGACAATGAATGCAACCCAGCAAATCTTCAAAAACAAACATCAATGTCAGTGCTGAAGTCGTGGCAACATGTCACTCCATAGGGCAGGAGCAAGAAGTTGACAAATTTTCAGCCACTAGATAAGAGCATTTCCCCTCCATCAAGAAGCATGTACAAAGCCATAGCATAACCCATAAAGACCATAAATGGTTACATGAAAAAAGTCACTAATTTTTTGGCACCCTTTAAAAAAGTCCCCCCACCTTCAAAATTTGGTTCTGGATCCGTCCCTGCCACTAGGCTACTCATGTCTGACCTTTCATATGAGAGGACAGGTCAGCTTCGTTGAAGGGAAGAGGTGTGTAAAGTGGTATGGCACCCTGCCTCCCATGGTCAACAACTGATTAACTTACAACTTAGCATGTTAGAAGCACTCAAAGCACCGTCTAGCATTTCATGAACGTAACAACAAACCGTCATCCCAGGTATCCAAATGGACATACTAAACTTGAAAGCAATCCTTATTTATGGTTACCTACACTCTCTGCACTTTTTTTCTGGATTTGCTTTTAATCCTTAAATTTGTAAAGTGTTCTGCACTTTTAAGACCCAGTGTCTCCAATCTGCAAAGTGTTAATGTAATTCTCAAATATACCTTTAGGATTGAACCAAATATTCTGAGTCACAGAACTCATAGCTTGCAGTTACATGAAGCTGTAATTTGCTTCCACCGGACAGTCAACAAACACCATTTTCTTCAGCGCTGGTAAATTTGATTCTAGCCTTCATTAACATTAGGAGCACAGCTACTCTGACATCTGTCGCCACTCTATATGTCTGATGGAAAATGATTTTTCTTGCATGGCCAATCTAAATGAAGCAGAGCGGTGATACATGACATGTGCTTAAACACAGTCCTATTCATGTACATCACAGGAATCATTTCCCTCAGTAAAACGGAAACCTGAATGCTTCGGGAAAAATCCTTTCTTCTGACCGTTCCTGACCTAATGCTTATCCCCCCTCCATTAACTCTCGATCGACTTTCATAGCTGTCATAAAGTCAAGGGGAAAAAAAAAAAAATGAACTTGAAGCGACATGTAGGCAATCCTTGGGCCAAGAGTGTGAGTGCGTGGGAGAGGCCAATGAGCCTACAGACAAATCAGCAAGGGGCTTGATGATGTAGGTATCATGTGTCAGTGGGGGTCTCCGACAGGCCAGAACAGGCCCAACCATTGAGGGGCCCCTGGATATCTAGGGAGGCTAGTCATTCCCCAGTCACACCTCGCTGATGATTTCAATCCCGGTTTTTATGCTAACTTCACAAGTGACTTTGCACACGGTGAAGAGATGGGTTGGAAAAAAGACAGCATAATAACTTTTCTCATGTTTCCTGGGGATTGACTGTTTCTTTCCATTGAAGGTAAAAAAATTCTTTTCAGTTCAATGCAATCTATTCAAATTATTTTCAATAAAACAAATGCATACATGGGATACCATTCATTGATACATTTATGGACAAATTTCTTATTAACTAAAAGAACATTTTACTCTGAAAACCAGCAAGGTTGACTTTTAACCTGGAACTGCTTAGTTTAGATTGAAGTCTCTGTTGTTCTGAATTATTATCCTGAACTATATGTCATCACTGCTTATGCATACTGCTCAATGTTATCATTCAAAATAAAATAAAGAGAACCAAAAAACTAAACAAAACTCCATAGCTTTTGAAAATTCAGCTCTGGTTGGAGTGCCCCTGTGCACATGACTTTTTCCTCCAACCAATTTTACATGCAAGTGTAAAATTTCTAGCACTGAAATATCTTTTCACAACTAACAAGATCTTTTCCCCTATGAAATAGCATGCATAGGCCAGTGATGCCTTGTAAAATGTGAAATCCTTAATATTCCTATGGGTTGGGCAAGTCAGGTATCCCACCCACTGGTAAAAAAAAAAGGGCAGGCTGTTACCTGCCCTGTCAAATGCATTATGTATTGTATTCTTTCCCCAGACCTGAGCTGCGATGGAATCCAGTTTGGAGTGGTAACTACAAACCGGTGTGCGTTTTTAATGACAACCGTGTCTGTGGTGTGCGGACTCCCCTCTTGGCTGACAGCCAAATGCTTTGCAACATGGAAACTCTAGTCTGCAGCTCTGGCACTGATGTCGGGTATTGAAGTATATGCAAAACACAGCCTGCTGATCATCTGCAATTAATTCCAAGTTCAATGCACTTGTCGAAGAATAGCGCATCAAGTTAAACTTCGATGAAAAGTCTAGGGAATTTGATCTCATCATCGAGAATTCAAAGGAGCTTGGTGACTTGATTTCAGATGCAGCTCCAAAGCAGCACAAATTTAATTTCAAACTTATTAACTTCAGTGGGAAATTAACAAGCTTTACAGTTCAAATTGAAGCCACTGTCTCAATGCTTCTGAATTCTGCCTCTAGGTACACACAAGTGGTTGGAACACGAGTACAGACACCACTGTCCCCATACACAGGTGAAACTATTCAGATGCAATTTGAAGTCTTAGAATTCCAATTTCAATATGGCTCTTGATGACAAGAGGTGGTGATCTTTCCACAGCTGCATAATCTCCCTGTGGGAGTGATATGCTGGCCGAACAAATCCCACTTCCAACCTACGCTCATCTCAAAGTCCGGTAGCAGTTGGCCGTTGCGACACCAAAATATTATCGCTTGACACATTCGCACTTCCAACCCTCCGTCTCCCATGGGGAGAGATGGCGTAGTTACGCGGAAGACGTCAACCTGACAGCTTTCACACCACGGTCCGTTTAACACCTCCAACTCCCCACACCCCCCCCACACCCAAAAGAACGATATTACTTGAATGCTGATTGGAAAAAGAAGGAGGTGTCAAGTACCTCAAGGTATCCCATGCATTCACAAGGACTCACCAGAGGAGGGCAGGGGGGGGTCTTCATGTGACTTTCGACACCTAGCCCTTGCCACATCTGAGACACGGACATAATTGGCGGTCTGCATCAGGTGACGACTACAAATGAATTCATGCTCCTTGTGGGTAATCAATATTGATGAAAGTAATTCAAGCAAAGAACACATTTTGTCTGATCCTGCAGAAGGGGAGGGAGGAAATGATCCACCTCTGGAGAAAGCACAGATTTAATCTCCTGAACCCGTCATTTCATCGCTGGTCACGCAGGTTTGTTTAAGTTGGTAAATATGAAATCAGCAAATGCGTATCGTGATTAACCTCAGGCGCAACCTGAAATTAATGACTTCTAACACCTTCTGGCACCTGCTGACTCAAAGGAGTCTTGGGAAAAAGCTAACCACATTAAGTGAATGTCTCGGTTCTGATCACCAGTCCTGGCATGAAATAGACAGAATGTTTTCCTTTCGGTGCCGCTTCAATTAAACTAGGATGATACTTCTATCACTTCTATCAAGTCATGAGCAAACCACAGAAAATTTACTTTATTTGCCAACAAAGCAAACACCGTCTTTGCAAAAATAATAACTGACTGTTTTTAAAAAAAATTTTGGGAGACGTGATGTAACAAATTGAAATTTGGTGTTAAATAACTACAAAAATAGCATTACATGTTTTTCTTTAAAAGCTACAATTTACATTTGTTTTACTGAGACACAATTTCCACAATTATATATTTTTCTGTATACGAGATTCTTTGATCTCAAAATTAAAACTACTTTTTGACTCCTGTACTAGAAAAATATCCTCAATTTCTGCAGACAGCTCTTCACATTTAGTAAAGAACACATTCGAAAAGAGTTCTTGGACGGTATGGCTTTACTGGAGAAAAATATCCGAAGCACCAGTGCGCTCATTGGGAGTCAAAAAATATGGCAATTACAAAGGTAAGAAATCTTAGCTTGAGAAGACAACGGTGACACTGTGGCTCAAGTTGCTCGGACAAACGGGGGTTGCTAGGCAACAGGATTCAGGGCCCACCCATCTGAGGGATGCTGGGAGAGCTGAGGAGATTGATGCGCTGTTTCTGCTTGCGCTGCTCCGTCATCTGCAAAAAGGCAAGAACGATGCCAAGGAAAGTCAGCAAGTGGAAGATTTGTCGTTTTAATGACTAGCAAATTTGTAGGTACTGCAAAGATTCTCAAATTTTTTTCCAGGAGTTAGTAAATAAGAACATCGGTGAGCAAGGGCATCATAAGCCCCCCTCCCAAGAAAAAGGACAAGAAATGAAAACAAGAAAATTGGAGGAAAAGGGACGTAAATCCTTAATTTGCTTGAAAATACTAATGATTTGACACCCCCCATTCCACTGTTAACCTCTTCACGCCGGGACGTGTTGAGACACGCCGTAATAATTGAGATCCTCAGCCCGCTTTTCAGCTATTAGTCTCGGCCCACGCTCGAGCGAACACGGTGAAAGAAGGCAGACCCTGGCTCTTGTATATATGGTAATTGATGTTTGTGTGTAGCCCAGAAATGAAAAGACCGAATTTGCATCATAATCACCAGCTTCACAATAGTCCCTACTTTGCAAAGAGGCAACGGGAATGTGGAAGCTTGAGTAGAGCCGCATGCCACCGAACAATCAGCCTTTTCACTGTGTAATTCAAAGTGTGCAGAGCACGCTGGGCCACAAACCGAGAATTTGCGGTTTGGCAGATGGCCTTAGTGGCCAAGTGAGGCTAAAATTCTTGGAATTGGCTTTCGGAAAGAAATTCCCGCTGAGAAGGGGTTCAAAGAAATCCTCAGATTCCTGCTGATGACAGCTTTCCCTCAAAGTAAACCACAACAAAAACACAACTAACTTGGTCCTTCAGTTCTCGGAGCTGGCTGGACAGGACCTTGACCAGTGAGTTGGTGTTCTCCAGCTGGTTCTGTAAGATCCTCATCTCATTCTGCTCACTCTCCCCCTCGTCCGAGTCCAGCGACATAGCCCGCATCCTGGGGAACCAGTCCAAATTTTTCTCCTGAATGTACACAACCAACACAACAATATAAATCAGTCACTGCACCAACTCTTACACTCTGTACTAATTGAGTTCTATATACGGACAAGTTTTGGTACAAGTTCTTGTTCTAGTAGAAAGCTTTATCAATGCCTTGGGAAGTGAATGGATCAAGGCAGCCTCTAAAAGGTTTAATAAGTTCACAAAGCCTCCCTCATAAATGTTTGCCAATACTGCAGAAGCCACAAGCATTAATGGACATCCCAAATGTAACTTGAAGACTCGGTCTACTTAAGATGCGTCCCAGATGCACATTTCCGGGAAGTGCACAATGTCCAATCAGTATTCAACTCGCGTAACAAGTCTTTCCCAGCAGTTCCACTGGGACATTAAAAAAACACCCAGTAGGAAGCAGAAGAGAAAAAAAAAGCAATAACAATAAAATAAAAAAACTCACTGCCATTGATTTGACAAATTTTGCTTTGCCTTAAGTAAGACCACACACTTCAAATCAAAAGCGCACCGAGCGAATGTTTACTGGCTTCAAGCTACAGACAATTAGCACATCCTTTCATAACAGTCTTTTGCATCATTAAAATGAGGCTCCTGTTACAGTCGCTTGTGGCTTTTTCCATGAAAATTCACAGCAAATAAGATTGAAAAAAAAATAGATATGCAGGCCACAAGATCTGGAAAAAGTTTCGCTTCGATAGCACACAAATTCATTGCAGTGGACTTAACTTCGACCTCAAAGCCCCCAAAAATTAGATTAATTTAGGAATCTTGTTTCACTGTCCTCTAAAACAAAAATGAGCATACTTCACAAAATTTACTGTCACAATGTATCAGACCTGCCAGCCCAGCAAACAAAACTTAGTTTTAACATGGCCTAATGCAAATAAAATGCTCTCTCTTGTACCCCGCCAAACGCCTCGAGTACCGACCAATTTGTGCGGTACCTTGATCATGTTATAGACGTAGCTCTCGGGGCCGGTGAACTCGGTCGGGTCCTTCACTTTGACTAGCACGATGAAGTACAGGTAGTGCCACATGTTGTGCTCTTCCTTGCAATGCTCCTCGAAAGAGACGGACTTGTTGTCGAAAGACGAGCGGTTCAGGCCTGGAGAGGCAAGAGACAGGAAGATGAAAGCAAAAGTGAACAGGAAGAGATTGGATTTGATTGAGAGGAACGAGAAGGATGGTATCAAACAATGAGGCAATCCACACAAAAAGTCTTCCTTCAAAACAACGGCTAACAGGCGATGGGCTTTGTTTATAAACAATGTCAAAGAGGT